AAAACCAGTCGCACTCTAATAAAATTGTCACACTTTTCAATAAAAAGTTGTCACACTTTGTCGGAAATAACTGACCATTACACCTTCTTATATAGTAAATTGTCGCCCTTTGTAATAAACTTCGTATAAATGATCAGAGGAGGAGTAGACCCAACGATCAAACATCATCCTTGTCAATGTTGATATTAATAACAATAAAGATAATGAAAATGATGATAATGATGATCATAATAATAATGGTAGAGGTAACAATTATGACGATGATAATTCTCCAATTCTGCTCTCCATTAGTGTTTTTCATGCAGACATTCTAACGCTTTAACTCAAAACTGTAAGAGATCGAAGTTGATCAGACAGACCTCCAGAATAGAAACTGCCGCCTGGCAGACTTTCAGAAGCCTTCGTAAAAGTATCATTTTCCAAAAACTTGGACCAGGAGTCTCCTTCTATTTTCTCTCATTTTCTCTTGAGTTGATCACACATATTAGTAGTAGTAGAGGAGTTTAGCCGTGAGAGGAAGCAAAATAATGTAGCAGCAATTGTAATGCCAAAGAAATCGTGATTGACTAATTTTCATGGCTACCTATATTTTATAATAAATTCTTAATCCAAATTTCAAAATCAACTGCGAAATGCAGGGGTCATGCCTCCCATTGGTGAAAAGCATACTCATGTTTGAAAAATTTTTGGTGATTTGAATTTTGGTGTTCGATCGACTAGTACCAAACTATGAGGACTTTCTTTTTCACTACTGCTGGATAAAGATGGTGATAAATGGAGATTGTTTCGTGAAAAGTGCACACGAACGATTTCCATTGACGAGTTTCGATGCATCAAAAAAGACGATCGAGTAAACGTTGCGAACGAGAAGTTTTTGATGCATCGCTACGATGGTATGATGTTTTTTATTCATAAAAACTGACATGCATTTCAAAGATTGGAAGTGAACTACTGAGAAAATTCATCGTTCGTCTAATCAGGGACACGAACGATAGTTACTTCATAATATAAATCTCAGTGTGTATGAAATAAAAAACGTTATTTAAATCTTTATATCTGTTGCTTCTTTATATATGCTGTAGTATAATCCCTCTCAGGTAACATTGTCTCTACTTTGACAAGCCAGCCATGAAAAGAGGTTCTTCTTGACTTTATCAATTTGTAAACCAACCCTTTTCCACATGAAATGTGAAATGTGTTAAATACTGAATACATGTTAAGTGAAGGGAAAATGTGCCATTTGTTTAAGTCTAGCAGCTGTCACTGAGTTCGTCTCCGACGACTGCGTGACATAGGTTTGCTGTTAAAACAAACCCCAATCTTGTAGGAATTTATGCCAAACGCTTCAACAAGGTATTCTGGAAGAACGTTTTGCTTTATTATCACGTACAAAGTAAAGTTTTGTATATAAGTTAGTACATCTATAAACACAGGCGGCCCAAGCGCTCTGTGTGTGATTTTCAGGTCTAAATAAAGTTCATTAACGGCGATAACTAACATATTTTAAAAGATCTAATTTTACGTATACACACGGCCGTTAGAAAGAAAAATTATAAAAAAAATTAATTAAAAAATTATAAGGATAATTAGAGCAAGGAATAAAACTTGTGAGGTCTCTTTACCTTTTTTCCTTAGCCGCTTTATTGTCAACGATCGTTTTACGCTGTTCTGGCGACTTTCTTTGTAACGCGGGTGGTGCTAAAGCGCCTCGGGTCGAGTTGCACGCACGACTCCCCAAACGGTGTTGTTAGACGATGGGGCAAAGTTAACAACTTTCCTCGTGATCCCCTCGAGATTCACATAGATAGACACATGGATAGCCTTTATTTTAAAACGACGAGTATTAAATCTACATGAGCTTGTGGGGTCGTTTGCAATGAACTAATCACTAAATGTAATAAAAACTAAAACCTAGGTGTACGTAGAGTACATCTAAACTTAAACCAGCGGTGCTTACGAATGTGGAATTGTAAACATAAATTGAAATATAAGCAAAGTCATCTTTTTTAAAATTACAAGTGGATGCAGACGTTATCTCAAAACTGAATTCAATAAAATTAACTAGAGATTTAAGCTTTAGCCTGAGGTCACCATATGGAATATTTTTAGTCAGGGCACTACAATTGTTAGTTACTGCATTCCACAGGACCGAGCCTCTAAACGCGACAGAGTCCTTATAATAGCCCGTGTTGAAGCGTGGAATAATTAAGGAAGTGCAAACCCGAGTTGAATAATTTGTGGCCCGCTTCTTAAAAATCAGATCGATTAGTATAGCAGGTAGCCTATTGTGGAAAGCTTGATGAAAACAGATAAAAATGTCTGATTTATAATAAATAGACAGAGTCGGCCATTGGGCCCGTTGTATGACATTACCATGCCGTGTCAATCGGAAAATTTAAAATAAGTTTAACAGCCCTACAATGAAGTCTTTCTAGGCACTGAAATGAGTCGGAATTGCTGCAAGATCCCCATAGTATAGGACCATAAGTCACTGAAGGCAAAATGACCTTAGAATAGAGATTCTGACGAACGATACCGGCCCCAGGGAGAAATCTCGACTTCTTAAGTAGTCCTAGTTTTTTATCAAATGATTTTTTTAAGTTCCAGCATATGCGGAGTCCAGGTTAGTTTCTAATCGACGGTCATTCCCAGTAATCGTGATTTCGATACCCATTCAATTGTAGAGTTTTCAATGAAGATCGGGGGGATGTTAACCGGGGCATTTCTTCTAGAGATTAGCATGGCCTTACTTTTACTCGGGTGAGGTGTTAATCCTATTAGTGAGGCACCACTCGTTTAGTTCACGGAGTGCAGAATTTAACTGGGCAATACTTTTTTCTTCTGTGTCGCTTATGCAGTAAACCGTTGTGTCGTCGGCAAACATGTAAACGCATCCGGAAGACACAGAGAACGGGAGATCTTCGTGAAAAGAGTGAAGAGCGTTGGCCTCAAAACGGACCCTTGAGGAATTTTATTTGATCAGATGCACTATAATATTCGAATCCCGTAGTAAGGGAAAAAGGATTACGTATACCTACAAAGCGATTTAGCCAGAATAAGTGGTAAAACGGAGCGGTTCTCGGATCGATGCAACGGAATTTGGAAACTTTTGCCACTGGAACGGGTAGGTAGTAGCTAAGCGCTCTCGCGGGTGGAAATTTTAGGGAGATCGGTCGGCTTTTGTGAAATTTATCGGCTTTCGAGAGGCGGCGGTTGGTCTCCGGGACCGGTTGAAGTTTCCAGCCTTGAGGTTTTTTATGCACAGTTCACCGGTATCACCACACGCGTTACATAAAAAGTTGCCAAAACAGCATTAAAAGGACCGTAAGCGACAAAGCGGCCACGGAAGAAAGGTATAGAGACTTCATACGATATATTCCTCGTTTTTATTATCCTTTTTTTTTTCCTTGATCTATTTTATAATTTTTCCTATTATACAGTTGACTGGTGACACCGCACGCGTTGCAGAGAAGGTCGCCAAAACAGCGTTAAAACGACCGTTGGCAACAAAGCCGCTGCGAAAAAAAAAAAGGTAAAGAGACTTTATACGTTTTAGTCCTCGCTTTTATTATTCTTGTAAATTTTTCTTAATTTGTCGTTTTAGTACATACGCTTAAATTTCGATCTTAATATGTTAGTTATTGCCGTTAACGAGCTTTAGACCCCAAAATCACACACACTCACGTGCAACCCATAATTGATATCGGGAATTATGGACTCTCAAGCGTTTTAATACATAATGTTACATACTATTACATAATACTACCCACGAGATTACTGAGGTATCCTGTAATTTTACAAGTTATTTAGGGTCATTGCCACATTGAAGGTAATACTAGAAACAGTGATCATGAAAAGCTATTAATGATGATAATTGTAATAATAAGGAAATGTCCTCTAACATATTGTTACTTACTAATTGAAAGAATAACCAAGTATGAGCTAGATTATCTTGAGTAGCTCAAGAGAGGATATAACAAAACTAAAGAAATCGTGAAAGTAAGTATGAGCAATATTTCGTCCAATTTGGATGTAAATCACTTTCATATTCCCGCACTATTTAGGCTTGAAAATCTAAGAGACGTGTTAGTGGCTTTTATTCTGGCTTTTTATTACAAAGGGAATTAAACTCGAGAACTTCTGAATGATCAATAGGGAACAAAATGAATAAGTAAATAGATATATGGAAATAGCGGAAGAGATATATTTGGACTTCCTTCATAAAGGTATGCTATATTTGATACAATGCTAAGCGATTTGAAGACAATTAGCCGCAATGAGACAATTATTCAGTTTTGAAAATGAAGTGGTCTTTGTTATTCCCGATAGTTGTGTCTTGACTTAAAGAACAACATCTTTCATCATTGATACCATCAAGTGTTCTTGGAACACAACAGCTTAGTGACCAACCCCGTGAGGTTGTCGAGGTTGCTATGACAACATGTCACCTGGGAGTTGCAAATATGGTTTCCTTCGCGCAAAATAAAATTCGTCGTTTAATAATCCATCAGCCGTTTTACTGTATGTATTAAGCTACTGTTTCCACGACTTTCATTTGACTCATTTAAACAATGTTACAAAACATTTTCTAGACGTTCAGCTCCTCCCTGTGGCAATAAAATAGTGCCAATACAATACAATACTTTATTTACCCACGCTACATCTAGGAGTGATTAAAAACTCGTTAAAACATGTTAAAATGTTAAAAATGTTAAAATGTTAAAACATTAAGAAAGCTACCCTCGACTCTTTCCGAAAAAGCCTTCCTCTTTTTGCCCAGGAGAAGGGATTGGGATACAAGCCTATAAAATAATTTTATATTCTCGAGTTTTCTCTATTGCATCACCGAAGCCAAAAGATCGTCTTTTAATGAAACCGCCTGGAAGTTCTCAGTGTGGAACTTTTTAATAATTGTCGGGCTTTGTGATAACACTTGTCGCATTTCTTAATAAAAAAGCTGTTGCGTCTGACGTTTAACCTCTTTGAAATGCAAATCAAGTAATCGAACTAAAACGGAGAAAAGTTTTTTGAGTCAGGTTATTGTGTGGTAGAATTTAATGAATACTTGCATGAACATATTACCGAATCAGTCCCTCCGGCGAAGTCAGTGATAATTCAGTTTCGACGAGTAGCTTCATCTTTCTTGATCAATAGATGATAATGGTTTTCATTCCTGCAGGTGTACAGATGCATTAACATCCGGTGGGCAAGATGGCTTTTGCGACTAACCGTTGAAGTTTGGCCATTTTATGGCATACGTTTAACTGTTTTTTTTCCATCTCGTTAAAAAGAAAAATCTTTAATTTGAACATTTTTGTTCGACTTATGGCTAAAATAGGTCAATTTTTTTATGCCTGACGGCTAATATTTTTTGCTATTTCACAGCCAACGGTTAATTGTAATGTGACTCTGCTAATTCATTAGAAAAATACTGTTTTAAGCGAAGCTCATGAATTAGTTTTTAAAATAAATAAAAGCTTATTTTAGTGACTCACAATAATCTGCCGTACTATTACAAGCTTTTTCATATCGTGTTCTTCCAAGTCGTTACTGCGTAAAACGGCACTCTGCACCTGGTAAAAACAATCTGATTGGTCCTTTTATGACGGAAAAAAATACAGTTTAAATACACTCACGTCAGAGAAAAAAAGCGATGGAGTCTTGTTTTGTCTATTAACTTGTACCTCCTGCAAACGAGTTTGAAATTCGTCTAAAAACTTGCAGCACAAGGGTTGCGAACCAAGTCACGAGCCGTTGGTAACTTATGCGTGTCTTACACCTGAAAAATTGGGTGGTGAATAAGAATTAATTTGGTAAAATGTTAACAGCCCTGTCTATACGTTGTGTCCCGAGTGAGTACAAGCTTTGCTACGTTTCTTGGTTAACCTTTAGGCAGGTAGCGACTGATTTGGTAAAGATATCTCAGTATTAGAATATCCCACAGCCCGGCCTCAGCCAAAATGAACTAGAAAAGCAATAGTTAAGAGGGTCTGTTTTGACTTATTGATAATTTAACAAATTCACCTGAGGAACGTCTGCTTATTTTTATCTTGGAAGATAAATGAGTTGGTAAATGAATAAATGAATAGGAGAAGTGTGTGACGATTTTTTTGGAATGGTACTTTAGTCTCAATGCAACATTGGTCAAATAAGAATTAAACTATAGAAAAGCAATTTTTCGGTTTTAAATTGTTATTCATGATTGTTATTCATGATTGTTATGTTTTGACGGTCTGTGCAACAGCTTTGGCAACGATATTAAGTGTCAAAGGAAGAATAGAATAAATAGTAACAATAGTAATGACAAAAGTAGGAAACATCACCTACGGTAAACAGAAGGCAAATTTTCTTTATGAAAGAAAGTAGAAAAAGTTAATTCCAACCCTTGAAGGGAAAATATTTCGATTTTTCAATGTTTCCGTCGTTTCCTTGATTCAGATGAATTCAAACGTCTTAGTTTAACACACCCTAACTAAATTTTTAAATTAGCCACACAAACTGGTCAAACTGGTGATCTTTTATCCGTGATTCGTACAAAATTACTTTAGCATATTAAGAGTAATATTACTACTATCGTGGTAAATGTATCTTTTAACATTCTCTCCTGTAGTTCTCGTGATAGTGAGTTTTAAAGGAGCTGGTAAGTCTGCAAAGTTGGCTTATTTCTAACATTTCCTCCTCAAAAAACATTGACCTGATAGAAAGCAAAAACCATCAAAACAAAGAAGCAAACTAATAATGAAAATAAAATTAAAATGAGGAACAAAATCGAACATCCCAAGAATAGCTCATTAATCTGACGTGTAAAAGACGACCTTACGTCACAGCACAACTGATGCAAAAGTCAGATGTATGTGAGTGTTGGCAAACAAAAAAGCAAAGATCGTCGAAAAAAAGTTATCTTGGAGATCCCCAATCTACCACTTATAGGTTAAAATCACTAAAAAAAACAAAACAAGAATAAACCCAGATATAAAAAACAACGACAACCACAACAGAGATAGTTTTAGGCTACATATTCTGAGCAGAAGTCATCTCTTTATTTGTGAAGACATAAATAGATTTCTAATTGATTTTGATATGAAGTTTTCAACATGTCAAAAGTGTTTGTTCTTGTTTTTAATTCCACTTTTCTAAGAAAGCCAAAGAAACCATAACCGTACTGAAGGTTCCTGCTACGTGTTTGAGAAAGAAGAAAATACATGGAAGGAGGCCAGAACATCTTGTGAACAACAGAAAGGCGCCCTAGTTTCCGTTGAAACCGAAGAAGAGTGGGATTTCATCAAAGGCTTACTAAAAAATTACACTAATCAAAACAGTACCACTCGGTGGCAGGTTGGTTTGGAAAAAAAGGCTGGTAGGTGGATCTAGGTGACGGGAAGACCTCTTACCATTTGCAAATAGGGACAAAACCAATCAAATGGAAATGGAGATGTAGCTAGTATAACACGCATGGAAAAGAACCATACTATTCTTTCGTACGTTCCAAGGATTACGTCTGGACCTTTATTTGTGAAATTACTGAAGGTAAGATAATAAACTGAAGCTATGAAGTATTTGAATACCAGGATCCAGTTTTCTACCTCGGACTGAATTGGCTTTGAGTAGCTATATGTACGATTCGTATTTTTCAGTAATGCGAAAATTAGATGCCGGTAACTTTTAATAAGCAATGAGGCGTACGTCTTCATCTAAAACGTTCACTAATCATGTCAAGGAAATGAACGTCTATTCTACATTTTATACATCTTCAGACTTGGCATAAAAACATGCGTGGTGATGATTCCACTGTCGGGCTTTACGTGGCTATTTGGTCTTTTGCTACCAATGCACAAAGCTAGCTTTCGCGTACATTTTAACCATCTTTAACTCTACACAGGTAAGCATGTGAGTAAAACTGTCGAACATCAGTTTCCTGTGTTCGTATTTGAATGTTCAGACTGCTTATTCTCTAAATCCACGCCCTTTCACAACCGTCAGATAATATTTCTCTTTTCCCTCAGATGAAACTTGTTCCAGCTCATTTCTATACCCTTTTTAATAACTTTTTATAAGGAAACTAAACGCAATAATAAATTCCCTGAGTCAAATATCTCATACGACTCTCTGCCACTGCTTACCAGGAACTAAATATTAAGTTTGATATTGAAATGATTTTCTGTTTTAGAGTTTCTTAATTTTCGCCTTTCATTGTGTGCGAAACAGTCAGGTAAGGACATAAAAAAAGAAAAGAAAATGAGGATGTACATGAAAGGAATTATAATTATCGACATAAATAAGGATTTGAGTGCTCAGCAACTGATATTTTGTTGCATGTTCATTAAAATCCACAGATTAGAGAGCGATTTAAAAGGAAGGTGAACACCATTTTTCCATCTACTGCAGATCATGGAAACTCCATAAAGAAATCCACACAAATTAATCCAAGTGGTGCCAGCGATATGTGGGCAGTTGAATTGCAGTCTTTCAATGAGTAGCTGTATATTTAATTTGATAAAAAAGTCTCAATTGATGTGTGGTAATGCGCAGTCACTTAGTATAACAGAGTTCATGAAGGTAGATTGATGTTCAGTCTCGTTGTGTCAGTTAAGTTAGCCGGCGCCTTCTGATTATTGCGATATTTCTGAAATGAGATAACTACTTGATAAAGTTAGCCCTTTACCACTGAGCGCGCGTTAAAGTAGTAAAGAAAATAGTTTGGCTAAAAATGAAAAAAATTCAGATGTGCCCTTTTGCCTCCTGAGTATTTTAGATGTAAAAAAACGCATTTTATTTGTCTTTGCTTGTATCAGATCCAGCTTATCGTTATGAATGTTAAACACTCTACCATCCCGTTCAGTTAGAAAATCAGTTATAAAATGAATGACATTAACAGAAATATCCACATCGACACGATTTAGAAAAATATGTAAATACGGACAAACTAAAAATAAATTTTCATATGTATTAAGTCGCTTCTTGTGTGGCTTCTCAGAGACATAAATCTTCAGGAATAGCAAATGACGTGAGCTGTAGCTCGTTTTGTCCACAAGGGAAGGAGGGCTGAGCAACGTTTCGTCGATATAAAAACCAAGGGTGGGAGAGAAATAGCGCGGCAGATGAGTCATCAGTATTTGAGGATCTTGACAATAAAACTCGTGTCGTTCTTTAGAAGGTTCTCCTTTACTCTAGTTTCTAAATATTTTGCCAAAAAAGAAAAATTCTGGTATTTAGCAGAATGCAATTTAAGACCCAAGGCAGCATGATTTTCAAGCTTCTTTTGAGCTTTATGCAATAAAATATTTTCGGGACGTCTTCTGAAATGAAGTGCTGCGTGCTAAGAACCTTTTTATGACGAATCCAGTTTCCAGACCATCCTCATATAGCTGGGAATGAAAAAAAGCATTGTTTTGTGTCTGTGTGTTTGGCAATCAGGAACTGGACACGGACGGTGAACGGAGATTCAGGGCGTCTGACAGTATGAAGCTTTTATTCAAACTGTGGGAGAGCGTAGCTGACCAGACAAATTTTCGGAAAACAGACAGCCGCCTGAAAACTATCTGTAGCTTTTGTGAAATTAGTATTTGTCCTAAGGCTTGGACCAATAGTCCCTTTCTCTGTTCCCTCATTTCTCTTGACCAAACGTATTAGAACAATTTCACAGTGCGAGGAGGTTAAATAATGTTTTAGAAATTGAAGACAATTGCAATGCCAAATGGTCTATCTTCTAATTGCTCTGAA